ATGTAATGAGATTTATATCACTAAGATTCTTATCTGTAATATGTATTAATATCTTCATCTTTGTAAAGCTATTCTTGATTTTGAATCAGCATATAGTTTTTGGTTCTTGTGGTGATCCAGACACTTGGTTGTTGGATTTATTACATCTAAGAACATATTCCTATTATTATGGTAAAACAGCTATCATTACAAGAACAAATGAATAATTTATTTATTTTACTTATGGTAAATCAATAAGACCAATAATTAATTACAGTAAGTACTGTAATTATGACAGCTCAGTAAGCACTGAGTTAATATGAGGACACTGCAATTAGATTAAATTATAAACATGGCAGTACCAGCTCTCTAATATCTAAATGAACTCAGACTTAAGAGATTAAGATGTGACTGACAAAGCAGATTGTGTTTTGATATAAAAAGAACAACTTTTTATTCTTTAATAAAGACAACCTATATACAGTCTCAAAGTATTCTTATATACGTCTCAATCTTTTTACTGTTGATTTTATTTTATTAAACTTCACAGTTCTTTGCATTTGAGAGATACAATGACCAACTCAAAAATATCAGCATAAATGGCAAGAACGGTTTTGAAGCCACGTTTATGAGATGCTTTGTTGAAGATATATACAAAAGTAATTTTGTTAATTCTGTTCTTACATGTCTTACTCAAGCTCTCTTTCTTTCTGTCCTTTCCAAACTTATCTGTTTATCTACATCTGTCTTTACCTTACTATCTGCCTCCTTCACAATTATTCAGTCACCATTCATTTTGCAAGCATATGTGGATTCTTCTGAAACTATCAGAATTTCTATCTTAGACAATGAATCTCTCTCACCTACATTCTTCTCACTTTCAGTTAGTAAATCTTTTTCAATGGGTGATATTGATTATCCCCATTCGTTGGAATACTACAAACTCGCATATCTCACTCCTAATGTTGTCCATTATAAAAATGCTGCTACCTCTCCATTCTTTGTTAACAATCAGATTATAAAGTTGAAATCAATCAATATTCTTGGCCAAGTGTACTATGGCAATAATGGCACCACTGGCCGCAGATCATATGTCCAATCATTGTTTCTTGGCAGTGATAGAAGTATAGAACCAATCTTCACTTATCAAATCAAGTATATCTTTATTCATTAATTTACTCCTCCTCCAATGTTGCCCTACTATGAAGCCGATTCCACTCATCATAATCAACATGTATTTGCATTTGTCAACTGGCTTCCTTTACTTGGAGATAAATCACAAGAGAAAGATGGAGTTGAAATTTGTGGTTCAACACCTTTGCCATCAAACTATCATTTAATTTTATCTATATATAGAATTTTTTTAGAAGTAGCAATTGCTAATCATACAACAGGACTTGTCAAAAAAAAACTGGTAATTGCCTTACCAAAAAAACTTTATACTTAAAAAAAACAATAATAATTATTCTTTCTTTTCTTTCTTTCTTTTTTTAAAAATAAAAAGAAAAGTAAATGGCGATAACAAAAAAAGACAGAGAAAAATAATTAATATCTCTATATAAATCATCAGCATTGAGTTTGTGAAGATGAGAATAAATAAGATGAGATAAACAATAATTTTTATTATTTTTATTGTGGCCCATCTCTAAGGGTCCATGGAGGGAAACATAACAAACGTCATCAGGAACTGGTTTCTCAGATAGGCTGATGAGATTTCTGTCTAACAACTGGCAAATGCTGTTACCCAAGTTTGCTCTCACAATCTCATCAATGTTAAAGATGATGTTGTTAAACTAAAAACATATTTATATATATCACGTTAAATATTATTCAAATATAAAAAATTATTTCTTGCAAAATTATTTATTTCATCACTTCTCTAAAAAGAACAGGTAACCTTTAGAATGCGCTTGCAAGGTCTTTCAGGAAACTCATCCTCTGACTCGCCTTCAGAAATTGCTGATTTTATCATCAGTCTAGAACAGTTTCTCTTTATTAAAGCATCAATGACATCTTTGTTTAGCACATATGCTATTATGCAGTGGTCGAAGTGCTGTAATTTTTTTTATATATTAATATTAATTATATGGTTGAATTTGGGATGAAATATAAAGTAACACTCACTTCAGTTTCTCTTGCAGCTTGTCTTCTAGGAGCGTTAGTGACAGCTTGCATCCTAGAATTTTCTCTGTCTTTACAAGTTGTGCTCTGAAAGTTTGTGTGCACTATAGTACAGAGTTTGCTTGTTTTTATACCCTGTCTAACAAACTTTGAAAGCAGTTAACCAAGAAGATTGGCAACAATTTTCTTGTTGGGGCTACTATTAAAAAAGACATCTGTTTCCCACCTTGGCTTTGCCTCGTTGGTGCTGACAAGAGCAGGATCATTGAAAGTAAATTTGTCCCTCCGCATATAACCTCGAATTGACACGGTGTTGTGTGTTCTTCAGCTTTGCCCACTCTAATTCATCTCTCTTTTTCTCCAATCATTTCCTCTTTCATTTTTTCTCATCATCATCTACATTACCACTCTAAATATTAACACATCCCTTCAATGTCACATTTTCATATACATATATATTTTTACTTTTATTATCACTTCTACTTTCCTGCATTTATTCTTCTTTTAGCATTTTTTATATATACATCTTTCCTTTTCCTTTTCTAGTTTTTCCCCACATTCTTGTATATAGACATCTCATATCTTTTGAATATACTTATATCTCTTGCATTATTTTATTTGCTTATACTCTCAGTTCTCTTTTTCTTACACTATTTATTTTCTTCTATTACTGCTATTCATTTCTCATCTTATATCCCATTTTTATTATCTTTTTATTACTATTACTATTATATTCTAATATCTTACCCCTACATTTTACCAAAAGCACAAATATTATCCCACTCTTTCTATTATGACATTAACATCTATCTGTCTTTACATATTATATCTTCTTGTGCTATAAGTCACATCTGTAATCTCTAAAAAACATCTCATTTTTCATATTTTTATTTCATTTTATTTTCATCTTTTAAAGGTATATAAGAGACCTATTTCTACAACAATAAACATCATCAGTTATCTCTCTCTTAAAATCACTGTCTCTAAATTGTTTTCTGCCTGACTCATAGGAAAGCAGTCATATATCACATTAAAAGTCTTATATCTTTGTTCAAAATTCTCTTCCTCTTTTTTCTCTTTCTGCTCCTTTGTATCTGTGTGATTGTCCTAAGTGAAATCAACAGTGTTCTCTTAAATTCTCTTCTAAACTTATCTTCTTGTATCTTGCTGTCTATCTGTCTTGATTGTCCCATGTGAAATCAGCAGTATTTTTATTTTCTTCTTCTACCTTATCTTCTTGTACCTTGCTGTTTTACCTCTTTGGATTGTCCCAAGCAAAATCAACAGTGTTTCTATACCTCCTTTCACCTTATATCTTAACACTTTTATTTCTTTTTTATCCTCAACTGTCCCAAGTAAAGTTGAATATTCAATCGCCCTTCTAAATACTCTGTATCCCTTCCATATTCATCTTTCTTTTTATTATTCTTTTTCCTACCAGAACTCGTACTCCAGAATTACATTTGTAATTCATGTTCAATATATTTTTCTCTTATTTTCTGATGAAGTTGCACACGCAACAAACTCAACACGCATCAGAATCAACTTCTATTTAACAAAAATAGTTAATAGTTGGAATATTGGATATAGTAATACTTACAAGGACTTTGTTCTTGTTTTTACAGCTGATTTCAGAAGCGATGCCAGGAGGAATTCTGATAATAGAACTGACAGCAACAGAGAAATTATCAAGAGAAACAGAAGCGTATGTTAGATATTCATTTCCTTGTCCAAAGCCAGCACAAATGACTTTTTGCATCGTAATGAGTTTACCACGTACATTAATCATGAATTTTTCCATTTCTTTTATCTTAGCTAAAAGCTTTTTGTATTTATCAGATGAATTAGAAGCAATTTGGCATATTTCAGTCATAATCTATAATATTAAATAAAGTATATTTTCTGTTATTTAATCTTTAACTTTTAATTCATAATATTTGATTTCAAATTAATGATTTATTTCTTATGTACAAGCAGATATGTATGTGAGAAAGTGAATAAGTAAAAGGGAGAGAGAAAGTGTGTTTTTGTAAGCAAGAAGTGTTGTGATATTCCAAACAACTTCTTTATATAAGTATACTAAATGGAACTGTAAATATATCCAGAATATCCTCTTGTAACTTTGAGATGACAATCCATCATTATATTATCTTTTTGGACTCAATTGGTTTTTAATCCTTTTTTTTCAAACACACACTTCTTTTTTTATCTTGTCCTTCTGTAATGACTATGGGTAATTGGGTTTGAATTCGGAGACTAGTTTAGGCAACTAGACAATGAGACAGAAGTTTGAGCTTAAGAAAGATGCTTTTTATTGATAGAAGACACAACGAGTATTTATACTCTTTGACTAGATAGAGAGAACACACTCAAACATGTATCATCAACAGAGACGTAATGGAAACCAGGGAAAAGGATTGAAATAAGAATTCAGATACAAACAATAGAATAGATACAAACAATAGCAATGTTAGAGACCTTGTGATTATATAAGTCTAAGTGCTACTTTATCTTTGGTCACAACACTTTCTATTTCCTGTTTTATTCTTTTGTTGTTTTTATTCTTTTTTTTTCTGATTTTTCTTTTGTTTCATTTTTCTTGTTTTCCTTTTCTCTCTCTCTTTTTAACTTTCATTATATTTATGTATTTTTCTGGTAAGACATATTTTCTTTGCAAAATGAAATACTTCCTTACAAACAAAAAAATAATTAATTTATTTCACTGCTATAGACAAGCACACACTTACTCTGTCTCTTTTGCACTTTTATATCTCTCCATTTTTCTTTGATAAGACAATCTCTTTAAAATACTATATATATACATATAACTAAAAAATAAGAATTGTTTCTGTTGTCATAGACACTGATGTTTTAACTTCTTCTGATACATTCTCTTTACAATGGCTATCTGGATTAGTCAAGGTTAGTAAATATACTTTATGTCATCATCCTATAAAATTATTCTAACTTTTTTCTTTCTTTCTTATAGGCTGTATTGCAAAAAAATACTCTATACAATTAAACATGACTATCAAAATGGTAATATTTTATTTTATTTTACTTTATTTTTATTTCTTTTTTATATTTATCTAAAAAAAATGACTTTTATTATAGATGAACAACCCTCTCTCAAACATGCTCTACATCATAAACTATCATCTCATGCTACCGTTATTGACATGGTAAGTCTTCTTTTTCTTTTATTCTTTTTATATGTACTGCAAGATTATTTATACTGTATACTAATGTAATACAATACTCTACTAGAGACTATATCAACTCTTGACAAGTATTATCGATGTTTACATATAAATTGTTTTGCTTTGGGTATGTAAATTAATTATTTTATTGTCTAATTTACTTGAATTAATTTCTCTGATCCTTTTCACAGTAAAAGAAAATCAGAATAAATGCTACATTTAACATTTTCATTGTCTTTTTGCTCAATCCATTTGTTTCTAGTATTTTCAATGCAAGTATAAATTAAGTATATATTGATTTGCAGAAATCACTGAAATGTATATCTGGTCTGAACAGATTAAAAGTTCAAAAAAGAGCAAAAAAAGGGCAAAACTTTAGACCATTTTAGTAGATAATAGTTTTAATTAATTTTGCTCTTTTTTTGCCCTTGTTGTGGTGCTTGAAAGTTTAAAAGAAGCTGTTAAAAAGAACTGAAGATTTGAAGGTAAGGAACAAAAATTGGTAAGAACTTGTGTAAGGCTTGTTTATTACAAAAAGATTTGATATCCAAATTTAACTAGGTTCCTACACTAAACTACTACTGATATTTATATTATTTTGGATCAGAAAAATCATATGACTGGATTCAGATAATCAATCTTATCTGAGCCTTAATCAAAGCAACATGCTATTAGAATGATTAATGTATGATTAATTATATAAATGTGTGTAGTCCCAATAAAGTATTAATATAGAAAGTAAAAGTGTTTATGAGTTATAATTATGCTTACAGTAATTCATTGATATATCCCATATTATAATGATATCATTATATATAATATAATTACTATTGTGCATGATAAACCTGTGTGTTAAATAATAAAGTAATTGGTAGACGTCTTTGACTGGAATAGCTGAGATCTTATATTATTTCCTTTCAACTTTTTCTTATTTACAACAGCCTTTTTTTTGAAGGTTTACAAAAAGGGAAAAATTAATTAACTGCTATGAGTAACTAGTTTTTGTCCAATACTACTTGCATGATAATATCATGCATCTCTTGTAGTTGCATTACACTTAGATAGCAAATAATGATTAAAAGTATATATACTTGTTAAAATTAATTACTGGCATATATAAAAGTGAGAAGTACATTACTCTTTTACTTATTATCTTAAAAAATGCTGCATACTCTAATAAATATACTTGCAAAATTAACTTAGAATGCATCTGCAGCTATCACTCAACACACATTGAAGAAGATAATCAAGATGTTGTCCAACTCTAAATTATTTGCTTTTGAGAAAAATTATGACATATACAAATATTTTGCAAGCATATGGAAATTAAAGCTACAACAGAAAAAATTGATGATTAGAAAGGCCCAAGACAAAATCAGCAAAGGATGCTATTTTTTCAAAGGGCAAAACAAGACAAAGAAACTTGTGACTCAAAAAGAAAGATTAGATTTTCTGCTTGCCTTGGATGAAAGGGGCTTTCTGGAAGAGTTTTGAATGAGCAAGAGCTCTTTTTATAAGCTGTATGATTTTGTAAAAAACTATGAGCTTTACTAACAATTGTCAGGATTTTACTCAATTGATATTAGACTCAGATTTCTATTGTTCTTGACCAATTAGAATAAAATAGTAATTCTTTGTCAAGTGGCCATTTTGTATGACGTTCTGGAATAGAAAGTAGGTGATTCAAAATAATAGTTTACAAATGTTTATCTACATATACAAAAGCAAATTTATTTATCTGTTTTCTACAATAAAAACAAATAGAGGACTCTATCAAGAATATAACAATCAGGTTCTTCAAAGTAATTCTCTCTTTGGAGCACAAGTTTGTTTACTGATCAACCAAATCTGAGAAAGCAGAGATAAAACAAGCAAATGAATATCCATTAGAATTTCAAAACATTGTTGAATTTTTTGATGAATGCTTATTTAAGCTGGCAAAAGTATCATTGTGAAAACCAGAGCAGTCTTTTGGTCGCAGATCCACTTACTGTGTAAACAGTGTCACAGTGTATGATCATAGACACATAATCGATACATGTCAACATGTTTCTTTGAAAGTTTGCATGATATGCATACTTTGTCTAAGTGTGAGTTTAGAAAATTCCTGAAGTGATTCTTTTCTGGTGACAAGTACGTGTTGGCATATGCGGAATACAAGACTACAAACTATATTGTTCCAATAAAAAAGAAGCCAGGGAACAGTGAACTCTTGTTAGCAAATAAAGGGTTCAATACAAAGATCTCGAGTATGCAAGTAAAAATTGAGCATGCATTTGGAATCTTGAAAAAGAGATTCTACTCCCTCAAATCAATCCCTGTAAGGTTAAAAAAAAAGAAAGATGTTGTAAAGATTAATGCATGTATTTGGGTTTGTATTGTTCTGAACAATTTTCTGATGTGTCAAGATGCCAACAAGTGATCTCAGGAAGCCAAGTGTTAATGGAAAGATAGAGAGAAAGCTGAAGTTGAATGCCTGAAGAAGACAGAATATTTAGAAGAGTCTGATATAGTAGATAGATCCCAGAATATAGACAGAAATTCAAGGTGGATCTAGACACAACATGCTGTTATGTCAAAAGAAAATAATATATCTTCATGAATAAAGAAAATAAAATTTAATCATTTTAAATGCATTAAAAAAACAGAAGTATTAGCTTTTATATCTATTAGATAGATCCCACTTTTTGGCATTTGACATCTGTTATTAAACAGATATTTCAGTATTATTTTTGTTCTTTTCTTTCTTTAATATTTTATTATCGAACTATTTTAAAGAAGTAATTAGAAGATCAATTTTGTCTGCTTTAATGATAGTATTTTTATATAGTCTACATGTCTTTACATTTTTTAAATGAAATAATATTAGTTCTGAGAATTTATATATATACGAGGTAGACTGGTTGTCCTCATTGGGACAGTTTAAGAAGCAATAACCATACTATGAAAAGAAGGAAAACCCTGTTCGTCTAAGTTTATTTCAATACTGGTTTTATCTATTTAATTGGCGCCCATTTCCATCTAATTAGCATCTGTTTCCATCTAATTAGAACCCATTGACATCTGATTGGCTTCCATAGAAATTGAATTTGCATTCATTACCAACTGAATTTGCTCCTATTGCCATCTGAATTTGCCCCCTCCCTTTTACTATTGGCGGAAGGGTACATGGCACTCAAATTTTTTATTCTTACGCCTTACAATTTTTTGTATATAACTGTAGTATTTTTTTTGTAAACGTCGTACTTTTTTTTTGTAAACGTCGTATTTTTTTTTGTAAACGTCGAATTTTTTTTATATAACCGTAGTATTTTTTTTTGTAAACGTCGTATTTTTTTGGCATAAAACATGGATATTTTTATTAGGCATAATTAGTTGATAGAGAAATAGAACACATAATAAGAAGTAAGATATAATGAAATACAAAGTAATAAAAAAAGAAAAGCATAAAGCAGTAAAATAAATAAAAAAAGAGGGACATAAAGTGGTAAAAAAAATAAGAAAAAGAGGGACATAAAGTGGTAAAAAAAAATAAGAAAAAGAGGGATATAAAGTAGTAAAAAAAAAATAAGAAAAAGAGGGACATAAAGTAGTAAAAAATAAAAATAAAATAAAAAAAGACATAGAGTGTAAAGAGCTTAAATAGACATAAAAGACATACTTAAAGCTTTCGCTCTCTGTTCAAACAGCGAGGAAAGAATGAAATGGCATGGTTAATCCAACCCAAACAGTCCGAAAGGGTGACAGTCTTAGCTGATTCTGTAATCCTTAAGATGAGCCCGTCTGACTCTGTAATCTCTTCTCTGCGGACACCAAACTTGATCTTGGACCACATTTCCTCAATTGGATTCAGGAAAGGTGAATACACAGGAAGATATGCACACTTGTACCCACGGGAAGAAATAAAGTCTTTCACCTCATCGGCCTTATGGATAGGAGCGTTATCCATGATGAGATAACGTCCTTGCATACCCTGGCTGTCCAGAACGTCCATTGTATGACTAAGAAAGTCGAGGTAGTGCTGGGTTCTGGTGCCAATTCGACCGTTCACCTCAACGTTGGTGTAGATGTCCAACTTTCTCTTCTTCTTGGTTGCGACTGCAGTGGGTTTCTTCAACGAGAGGCTGACGATCCCTCTCTCGCACATTGCACCAAGGATGGTGATGGACACACCTCTCTGCGTCGGGACAGTTGTCTTTGCTGGGGTGCCACTGACGGAACGGCCAAAAGTTCTCTTGATGTGCATGTTGAAGCCTGCTTCATCGATGAACACACAGTTCGACAGATAGTTGAAATCCGCAAGTTGTTGCCACTCCAAAATGCGGTCTCGTCTCATCTCAATTGTGTTGGCGTCGTCTCTCTTCTCAGGCAGCTTCTCCAACTTCTTCATCGTCAGGGCACACTTCTTCACCAAGTGCTTCTGGATTGCTGATTTGGTAATCTGCAGCCCAGAGAACTCTTCCATGACAGCTATCCTTGCTTGTTCCAAGGTAGCATCTGGTTTATTTTCGAAAAACTTCAAAAAAAAAGCAGAGTGCGCCTGGAACAACTTTTGGTTGCCATGTTTTCGTTCTTTAGGCGCAGAAACCTCCTCAACCTCCATCGTCTCCAGCCCATTGGACTCATCAGTCTCCACTGTGGCAGCATCAAAATCGGCCTGGATCTTCTCTCTGGCCAGCCTGACATAGTTCTGGGCAGTCCGGACATTGATCCCCGTTTCCCTGGCAGCGGCAGCAGCAGTCTGGTTTTCCGAGAAAACCAAGGAGAAGAGCTTGTTCACCTGGTTTTGGTTGTACTTTCGGTACGAACCTCGACCTATGCTTTCTGCAGTGGGAACAGAATCAGGATCGACCTTCTCCGGCAGATTCGTCTTCGGCTTCTGTGCAACAATTGTCTTGGTTGTGGCCTCGTTGACTTCGGTTGTCAGGAAACTTTTGAGACTGAGGAGGTTTGTGACTGCTGGGTTTCCGGCCGAGGTACGGGTCCATTCCATATCGGCATGGTTGACAAAGACATCTGTCACAGATCGGAGTACAACTTCTCCATGCATTTCGTCGACAATCTCTTGGTTGAAATCGCACAAGGGGTCGAAAGCAATTCCAGAAAACTGGGTTTGGTCTGCAGAACCGCTGTGACTGACCATTTCACAGTGCTTGTCCATAACAAATTCGAGGGAGTTGTTGGAAGTAGGCATTTTTTTTTGAAAATAAAAAGGGTGTTAAAATCGAGGAAGAAAGATAACTGAGAAACTTTTATTAAGACACTGGGGTATATATACCAAAAAAAAATATATTTTAATAACTTAAACGTTTCTACCAAGGTATAGTCTTGTCCTGTTGTCTTAATATATTTGGATAAAGAACGTGTTGAAGAATAATGAATGTTTACATATTAAGCTTCTTCACACTTTTAAGAACATTTATTTTATTAGCCGATTTACAGTGCTACCAGAGCCTTTATGGTGTCCTGTCCTCTGTCTCGAAGGAAGGGGTGGGATTTCTCCTCATGGGTTTGCCCAACCAAAAAAAAAATAAAAAATAAAATAAAAAAAAAAATAAAAAAAAAGAAAGTTTTTTTTTGTATAGAGCCAAGGAAAAGCTCGAAATTCAGTTATTGAGATTTTCAGTTTTTCAGAAATTTCTGCGGTTAGATACCATTTTATTTTCAGTTATTAAGATTTTCAGTTTTTCAGTTATTGAGACTTTCATTTTTTCAGTTATTGAGACTTTCAGTTTTTCAGTTTTTCAGTTTTTCAGAAATTTCTTGCAGTAAGATATCATTTTATTTTCAGTTATTGAGACTTTCAGTTTTTCAGAAATTATTTGCGAAAAAATGGTTATGTATATTATAAAAATTTATGAATAAAAATGCTAGTTATACTATTTGGAGAATTATTTTTAAAATTGCTATTACATTTTTCTTTTTTTTATTTCTCTTTTTTTTTCTTTTTTTTATTTCTATTTTTTTTATTTCTTTTTTTTTATTTCTTTTTTTTTTATTTCTATTTTTTTTATTTCTTTTTTTTTATTTCTTTTTTTTTTATTTCTTTTTTTTTTATTTCTTTTTTTTTCTTTTTTTTTATTTCTTTTTTTTATTTTTTTTTTATTTTTTATTTTTTTTTTTATTTCTTTTTT